GCCGTGGTTTACCGAACGTAATATGGCGTACAAGTTTCGCGAGGAGATCGTGGGAAAGAGGTTTCTCTCGGTGAGTGGTTTCACCAAGCTGAAGGTGAATAAAATTAGTGAGTGGGGTTGGCGTGCGGGGGTGATACGTGCTGCCAGTCACAGGGATAACGGCTGTCATGACCTTCAGGTGAGTGTCTTGAAAAAAACTTGCTCGCGCTTTTCTTTCTTCGCGCGTTTTACGCGTTTCTGTGAGACCGTCAGACTCGCGTTCTTGTTTCAGGTGTGTCTTTACCGCGTAGTTTGTTACGCGGGTCGATTGTTGGTCATTGCGACCTGGCGTCGCGCGCGCGACGCCTCGCGTCGCGCCGCGCCGTACCGTTTATGTTTACATCGCGGCGTGACCCTTTGATGTGAATATTCTCCGAGTCTATGTACTGGAATACAGAGTCTTGTATAGCACAAAGCATTATGCGTGAGAAAATGAACTAATCAAAGTTTTCGAAATAAAAAACATGATTGATTCTTTCCGTTTATAACCGTTATTTAGGTTTTAAAGCCTTGTTCTTGAGCCATAAGAAATTGATCAGTTACAGTCGAATGTGAGAAGAATAATCGATTGGTCAATTTCTTATGATTAAAAATGAAAGCTTAAATAATAACTTCTTGATAGATAGCTCATTATGCTTTCTACAATAAGTCATTATCTAAGCTTTAAGTTTAGCCTAAGTTTTAAGTCATAAGAAATTGATCAATCATGTCAATTATTTTTCTCACATTCGACTGGGATTGGTCAGTCTCTTACGGCTTCAGACTTGAAACTTATTGTTAGATAATGACTTATTACAGAAAGTCTATTATGCATTATAGGCTTTCTACAATAAATCATTAACACTAAGCTTTAAGTCTTAAACTATAAGAAATTGATCAATCGTAATCGATTATTCTTCTCACATTCGACTGTGATTGGTTAATATCTTATGACTTATTTAAGACTTAAATTTAGATAATAGCTCATTGTAGAAAGCTCATAATGCGTTTCGCAAAAATGAGCTTCTTATATTTCTCTAATTTTCGATGATCATTATTCCATTTCGAAAATGGAGTATGAAAATCAGGATTCTCGCCCGTTTCGGCAAAATCACTTTCAATGGCAACATGTCACAAGGAATGAAAATTGTCTCATCATTCTCCGCTGGATTCGATATTACAGCCATAAATATTGGGAAATCGTAATTTATTATTAGATCTCGCGGTTGCGGTGCGTGTAGAAATGTGTCGCATTTCCGCGACACGTAGACTTTCATCGAAGTCACGCCACATTTTTATTAATATTTTACGGCTATTGAACTACTTGCTATATTTACGATTATATTTCGTTTGCATTGTTTGGTCAGAACAATAATTAAAATTGCAAAATGTTTTTGTAATGCCGGATTATATAGTTGCTCTTTCGAAAACGCTACAACAACATACTGCATTATTTGGAATAAAATCATCGTTACCAGCGATTTGTAGTCGTGGATATTATTCGATACGCAAAATGTGAATCATTAATCATAATGTATGTAAAATATGAAACGATGTTAGTTAAGCGATTTCGAATTTTATGGAAAGATTGGAACGGAATGACGATCGATCGTAGCGTGTATGCGTTTCTGAAAAAAATTTATAACTGCTTTATAAATATTTGTGAACAATATTGAAAATTTGTACATTCAACACGAGATAGGAGATTCAAGACTCGATTTATACGAGACAAATTAAATAAAGCAGTCGGTGGTTAGAAATTTACATACGTATCTTTTTAATGCAGAAATTACGCGTATCTTTGCCTTTTCGAAAGACATTCATCGAAGGTCGCATATTTCAATATGCGCGAATGTTTTACGCGAATATTCGTTCGAATTTTAATAAGTACGATAAACTCGACATGTTCCTAATTTTTTTCTATTAATATTTTTATTATCAATACAATTTATATTATCATGAATTGTATATTATTATTTAATCATATATTATCATAAATATATCTATTTTGACGTACGTCAAACGTGAATTGTAATTACACTTTATTATACAACCTTGGCCATAAATATAAAACATTCTAAATTTATTACATTTTCTTGAAATGAAAGCTAAAAAGAAAATAACAATATTAAAATTATTATAACAATAAAGTATTTCAATAAATCTGTTTTTAATTTTTTAAAATTATTTTTCGTTAAATATAGAACGTTTATGTAAATTTATGGGAGTGCTTTGTACTTATGATCAAGATCTGTAATTCGGGTGGGTAATGAAGATAATTATATATTGTATACAGATTATTATATTCGCATTCCATATTGTACTAGTTTATAAGTATTGAAAACTAACGATTATATCTATATTTGACTTTATGATTATATATTCGAGGTCGGTTTTATTTTGAATTGAAATATTCGCGAATATTTCAATCTTATAAATCATAAGTCAATGTCATTTTAAAAATTATAACATTCCTTCATCATAAAAATTGTTGAAGTGTGCAGATCATATTTTTAAATATGGATTCAAATTTTAATATTCCTTAAATAAAAAGATAGATACATATTCATAGAATTATATTACTGTAATATAATTCTATGAATATACACATTACGTGAATATGTCACGAATTATATTAATTGTCGTAATTGCTCGCGACAATCACGAATAATTAATATAATTACGTACTTAAGCTTATCTGTCAAGTGTTTTTCTTTTCCGTTCAAGTCAAGTCACAACTATTTCAGTTTTCGAGGACATTGCCAGCTTACATACCAACGTTGTTTGAACACGCACAAATACACGTTCGACGGCATTCGGTGTACATGTTTCGTATTACTTGGCTGGTGATATTTGCCAATTATACCACGTGGCCCAAGACCGCGATTATTATACCGGTCGAGCATAAAATCTCGGAAAATCTCAGTCTCAGCGGTCGATTTTTGCATTCGTTTCATGACGTCGAAAGTTGTAATACTTGTTTTCGAATCAAGTAAATTGTCTTCGAAAAATCATCGTCATGGCTTCGTTACGCAACGGATTGAATTTCGGAGCATTCGGACACATACGTATGCGAAATTAATTCGGAGAGGCAATACTTATCTCTTATATAATAAAAGAAGCAGTTGTCCTCGGGTATCACTTATTGGCCAGTAAAACTGTCATCTAGATGACGATAATAATATTAGCTTACCTACGTATTATTATTATCTTAATTAACATTGTAATTATTGAGAAGCTTTCAAAAAAACGTTGCGAATTTCGGATGTAATATTTTGATAAAGAAACGTCATTACGGTGAATATTAATATTTATTATGAGAGAAATATAACAATAAATGTTATGCATTTATGTGGGATATTATCTAATTACACGTTGATAAAAAATTTCTTTGTATTAATATATTATAAAATATTAATATGGTAAAGAATAAAAAATTTAAATATTCTTTTTATATTCTTCCATTATCACTTCAAATCGAATCTTATTTTGAATTATGCATTATATGCAATATAAATTTGATCATCATTTGATAATGCAGATGATCCATTAACGATATATTTTATAACAAGCATGTATAATATTTATATTTTATATTTCGCGTTAATGATTTTTCCACAAATCAAAAATAAAGCTAATGATATGAACATTTGATGAGTCTTTGTAATAAACAGAATGTTTCCTACATTATAAAAAAAATCATCTTTTTATAACAATACTATTTCATTTACATCAACATTATCATCAACATTAGTATTACTAAAATATTTTAAATTCCAAAAATAATTTTGAAAAATTTAACAATGATAAATCTTGATTAAATAATATTTTACTTAACTAATACATATCAATTGCTGTTAATTCTTGAGTTATATATTAGAAATTGTTTAGATGATTCCACAATTTAAACATTTTTTTAAATAAATTACGTCGTTCATCCAATCCATTATCGATTCCATCGTCTGCATAGCCATCTATTTTATTTATTAAAATTACTAAAATATTTTAAATTTCACAAATAATTTCGAAAAATTTAATAATCTCGATCAATATATTAAATAATATTCCACTTAACTACCATTTATCAATTGCTGTTAATTCTTGAATTATATGCTAAGATTATTTATTAGATTATCCTGACAATTGAAGCATTTCTTTTTATAAATTACATCATTCATCCAATTCAACACTAACTCTCAGTCGCGATGCAGTCAATCGATCTCCGACACTCGGAGTTAATAATATCCATACTTATTCGTGGCATTCATTAACAGTTCGCTCGGTTTCAACTATCTCTAATGGCCCTCGCGGCGTCTGCGAATTTATCGCGGCGCCAAGAAGCATCCGGACGCCTCCCGCGGTGAATTTAGTTGACAGTTCTGTTTAGTATTTGACGCCTCTAAAGGGTCAACGACTACAAACGCCATTAGATATTCCGGGGTCATCACTACCATTCAGGCCGTTGCGGCTTTCCGTTTTCCGGTTTCCCAGTCTTGAAAAATGCTATTGCACTTCTCGGCTCACGACAAACGTATCAACGAACTTGATCAATAAGAATTTCTGGCTCTTTGCCGAAGGTGAAAGTTTTTTAGCCATCGTTTTTCTGGCAAATAATGATCCTAGCGCGCGAGATATTCGAAATAAGGAAAATAGTTTTTTCTGATCCAAGATACAAGAAAGAATAAGATAAAACTATTGTCTTTATATCTCTCTTTCTTTTCTCACTACGCATGTCGATAGTGTCGGCGATAAAGAGAAGAACCTTGAAGTATTGACAAGTCGTTGAAATATCGAACGCGGAGAAAATAGATGTTTTATCGATAAGGGCGTGCTCGGGTATGAAACTCGCGTGCTCGTCACCTTGAAATTTCTCTACGCTAACTTTAGATGTGAAATGATGCATAACTTAACAATACACTATAAATCGCAAACTGAGGTGACAATGAAATGTGAGACATATTATACATTAATCACATAAAAATTGTGTTTAATTTTATTTTATTTCAATGTTATTAAAAATCATGTCTTAAGAAAGTTATGCGCTTTAAATAATTAAATTTTTTATTTAGTTAAAGTGCATAACTTCTTCAGACATGATTTTTAATAACATTGAAATAAAATAAAATTAAACACAATTTTTAAGACTTTTTCTCACATTAA